GCATTTTACTCGAACGCGACAAAGAGACTCGTCGTGTGCTTTTGTGTTGCAGCATGAAAGTGCAGTTTTCTCCAACGAACGAACTAGCACAGCTCTCTTTTTAACCCTCGGATCGAAGCATTCGGGCGTAACGAGCAATTCCATTAAATCCTGTGAACGTAGATACACGTATATATGTGTGTGTATCTCTATGTGTATACTTGTATATATATATATATATATATATATATATATATGCGTGATCGTATATACCAAGTACAAAAGGATATCGGGCGTGGATAAGAGGACGTGCTCTGGTCGTTCTCTCTCTCTCTCTCTATCTCTTTCTCTCTGTATCTCTCTCTTTCTTTCTCTCTGTCTGTCTGTCTTTCTTACTCTCTTTCTCTGGTATACCCGGAATACGATGACGCCGATACGACCATTCTTTCGCGATTTAATTTTCACCGAGGTACGAAACGACCCACTGAGCACGTGTAACCTGTCCTGAGCAATTTGTAAGAGCGTTAGCCGAAAGTCCGGGAACTCGAAAGATTAACATTGGATCCTTCCGATCGAATCGTTTCTTCGAATTTACCATTCTACTTTTTTCTTATGAATACGCAGATATATATATATATATATATATATATATATATGTGCGTATGTGTATATATGTACATTCATTTCAACGGACAATAGCTGAATATCATTATTAAATGTATTTAATGTGATTAAACAATTTTTTAAATAGAAATATAAAATAATATTATATTGTTAATGTATATAGATTTTTTTTTGCCTGAATAAATACTTTAAATATATGTTAATAATGTTACGTCCGGACTGGTCGAGTCATGAATACTAAAGAGAATGAATATGATTGAATAGGAAAATTATTTTATATGATGAAATAATTTTCTTCTCACAACAGATTAGTAAGGTCGGAAAAACTATATAATCAAAAAAAACAGAACGTATTTTTCATTATATGATTTAGATAAAAAAAATCGTTTGTGATTTTCTCGCTATTGTACGCGAAAGATGTGCGAAAAATGGATATATAGAATTCTACCTGTTTTCGACATAAAGGTTTTTATAACCATTTGGGTTCTGTTAGGATTTCAGAAGAAGGGATTTATTCGATTAATTGTTATATCTCATTACGAGTTTTTTCCCTTTTTTCTCGTTTTTTACAGTTTCCTCTATCTTTTAGGATGATCCCTTAGCCGATTGATATGTCAGTATTTTTTTATCTCGTGTAAAAGCTTTTGATTTGCGTCGCTACTTAAGATATTCATTGACCGAATTTTTATGCTCGATTATCGGTCGTCAGCGAATTTTGTTTTGAGAAAAGTTTTTGATCTGCGTCCCGAACTAGGTTGTTCATTGACCGAATTCATATACCCGATTATTTGTCGTCGTTTTCTTGTAAGAAAATATTCCAAATAAAACGAATATATATTTATACTTATATCGAGGTCCAAACGTTATAATAATAATTTCATAAAAATTTTTCGTATATGTAAGATTTTTTTTATAATGATCTAGAACGAGAAAAGAAGAAGGAATAATGGTAATATGAAAGTAATTGGATAATGGTCAAATGGTTAACGGTCGAATTTCTGCTTGATAAATTTTATTAACGGTTGATTAAATATCGGCTAAAATATAATATTCATAAAATTCATGAGAATTGATAAAACATTGTCTATCGATTCAATAGAAATTTTTATTGATAATTCGTTCCTTCTAATCTGATGTCATTCTGCAATGAATAATTGAAATAAAAACTCTATCTCTATCTTTCTCTCTCTCTCTCTCTCTCTCTCTTTTTCTCATCCTTTCTTCTCTCTTAAAAAGAAAAATTCGTTTCAGTGAATTCATGATAAAAGAAAATGTAGGTTCACCATTTTAAGAATACACGTGGTTATTATAAAGTCCTTGTGCAACTTGAAATAATAATTTCTTCTCTTTAGAAAGATAATAGCTATCGATAAAATCCTTCAAAGAGATAATTTTTTCAAGTTTTCTTCTTGTAAAACACATAAAAGACTTTCTTCGTTCGAATTATTTCCTTTCTTTTTTATTAAACGATTCACAAGAACATATTTTAAATAAAGCTCAGAATCGACTTTTCTAAATCGGTACGATGTCATGAACAATAGAAATTTTTTTAAGCTCCTGTAGGTAGATATAATTATATGTAAAAATCACGTTGCCTATCATCAGGTGCTTTAGAACAGTTTTTTAGTTTAATACATGATAAAAATAATTGACAATTATTGGCGATGTATGGAATGTTATCCATCTCCAGGCGTGAATATTTAAAATTTGCATTACTAATTACAAATTGATAAATAAAAATAAATTTGATTTTCTGTTTCCCATTTTAACGTTAACTCTTCATTAATTTTCTTTTTCTTTTTTTTTTTTGATAAACATATCGAATAAATATTTGAATAAATATATAATTCTATCTTAATGTCTCAAAAGTAATAATATTTTTAATATTTTATAATATTTTAAATATTTTATAATATTTTTAATATTTGAGCTATAATCCTATATTTTTATTTATTTTGCATAATCGAGTGAAACTATCTCACAAGAGAGATACGCGAAAGATTTCGGATCTAGGATTGGATCGTGTTCTCCATTTACGAAACGCGTACGCTTCACCTACCTTCAGTACCGTTTTGCAATAAGAACATTCCGAGCGCATAACGCAAATGCCGCACGCTCTTCTCTACGACCTTTTAATAAATGGTTCTTCTATCTCTCCGTCTCTTAGACGCGGGCGAGTGCACGCACGAGCAGCTCTTAAACTCAAGCAGAACTATGCAAATTACGATTTGCGACGAACGAGATAGAAAAGCCGACTTAAGGATCGTCGAGTCTTTCAATTCAAGTTCGTCCAGAATTTTTTTTCTTTGATCTTTAAAAAAAAAATGGGGAAAAAAAAAGAAGAAGAGGAAGAAATATCTGTAATCGAAATCATAAATAAATTCTTTTCTTCTTTTCCATCAATATTGTTTGAGAACGAACGAAAGGCGAATGAAAGGCAAACTTCATCCTATTTCTAAGACAAAAAAGACGCGCAAAATTTAAAATACCGAATGGTAATTTATCTAGGAATATCGATTTTTTTTTCAATTTAAATTATAACAAACGTATGAGCTTTTTATCGATTAATTGAATACGACCTTTTCCAACTTGAAAACTGTCCGAATGAATAGATCTCTCTCTCTCTCTCTCTCTCTCTCTCTCTCTCTCTCTCTCTCTCTCTCTCTCTCTTTCTGTCTTTTTTTTTTTCAATTGCCAAAATGACTAAAATTAATCGCACATAATATAATTAACCGCACGTGTAATTGAACTTATCCAGTCTTTTTTCTCACAAAAAAAGAAAAACGAGAGAAATACATAAGGTAAAAGAAAAAGATGAACGAAGGATATATCTCCTTTCGTGGGCAGATATTTTCAACGAGTGACATTACGGGTTACAGTTTTCATCCGACGATATTTCTTATTTTAAAGAGAAAACGAAAAAGAGAGAGAAGAGAGAGAGAGAGAGAGAGAGAGAAAAAGAAAGAAAGAGAATATACTTCTCACTCACACATTCATGTTTTTCTTTCTTTTCCAAGGACTCCTGCATGGCTCGCGATGTCCCGAGGACAGCGTGGAAAATGAAAACGGCGAGTGCAAATGCTCTCCGACGTGTCCTTCACCACCGGTCTGTTCTGAACCTGAACAACTTTTACTAACAAGAAATGCAATTCCTGGGACACCCGGTAGATGCTGCCCACGTTATGAATGTCTTCCCTCAGGTAATAGCTCATATCATCTAATAATTATAATAATTACAATAATTACAAAATTATAGTCATTGAATATATATTTATATATATAAAAAAATATAAACTGTTTGAAAATAAAATACAAATTATTGATATAATTAAGAAATAAAATGTGTCAATTCTAATAACAGGACATCAGCAAGATGGACATCAAGAAGGACAAGATCAGCAGCAAAGTTCAGAAAACGGTTGTCCCAGGGATAGTGTTCCAAGTGAAGATGAGGTATGCAAATGCGTACCTACGTGTCCACCTGCATCTTGTAAAGAAGGTGAACGTGCCGTTGAGGTCAGGCGAGCTGTACCTAATACTCCTGGTTCCTGCTGTCCTCTTTACGATTGTGTAGCTTCAGGTAATTAGAAAAAAAAAAAATCTTAATACAAAATCCTGCTTATCACCGATGAAACATGAAAATTAATAGTAATATTATATATACATATATAATATAAGTATAAATTATTATTTACGAATTAAAAGTTACCTTCCTTCGATTAGATTTAAAATTTTAAAGATCTTGATGAAAGAAAAACTTATAAAAATAAATCAAATTTATGGTGTTCCATTCAACGAAGAAGGTCCAATAATAAAATTAGACTGGTCAAGTTACGTGGTTCACCCCATATACATGAAAACACAATATCGGGTCGATATCTCGAATCTCCATTCTCTCCCTCTCCCAATCACAATTCCAATCGTCGTCCACATATTCTCTTTCTCTCTCTTTCTCTCTCTCTCTCTCTCTTTCTCTCGTTCATCCCTCTGTCCTTTACTTTCACACCACTAAGCATGTAGATATACATGTATATAGTGTATCAATGCCAAGCAACAATTTTCTACCCTTAGAGACACACGATCCTAAGTGTTTCTTCGTGATAGCGCTAAGGCCAACCTATTTCCATTTCTTTTTTCTCGGGACATCTCGAGAGAGTTAGGAAAATAAACGAGCACGTCCTCGAATCGATGGAGACAGAAAGAGAGAAAAGCGATTAGGGTGTGCTGCTTAGACAAAAGAAAAAAGAGAGAAAAAGAAAAAGAGAGGGAAATATTCGGGGAAAATGATTTTTAAGTACAAAGTTAACAAGAGTGATCACCCATTTCTTTCCTCCCCCCTCACCCACCCTCATCCCTCTCTCTCTTCTCTTTTTCTTCTCTTAAGAACTACGATACTACCTGTTGAATTTTAATGAGCTTACTTTTATCTTGCATCCCTACTTCTCGGAACTTAATAACATTGGCCATATTCACATTGAAATTTCATAATCATTAAAACTTAACCATAATCTTAGCTATACATGATTGGATTGAAGATACAAAGTTCGAAAGGAAAGTCTAAGGAAAGTATCCGATCGTCGATCGAACCTAACTACCTTCTCTAATCCACCCTCTAATCCAAGAGGAAACAAGTAACGACATCGACGTTCGCTTTTAATCGATTACCTTTTAATTATGGTTCAAGCGTAATGGGTAAATATTGACTCGTGGTAATGCTCCTAGTGCTAGTGGTTAATACTAGTTAGATAACGCGGTAATTTTATATCACGCTTCATTATAATCATATTTTAAAGTGTATCAAACTTTGACCCCACCGCTAATATACCTACGTTCTATTAACAGTTTTTAATTATTACCTGGCATTTTAACTAACGAACGGGCTTCATTATCTTACTTTTTAATAATGTTCCATACGTCAATTAATTGATGTAATTGTGAAAATGAATATGTTCATTTCATTTTTCTTTTTTTTTTTTTTTTAGAACTAGAACTACCAAATCAATCGAAATGAAGGATTTTAAATTCATCTAGTGATGAAAATGAAAAATTTTAATTTCATTAAAATTGAATGAATTAAAAATAATAAGAAATAAAGTGCTTTTATTTTCTTCTCAAAGTACCCATCAAATTGATAGATTTAATAAAAATACGGTACGGTAGTTTTAATATTAATCATTGCTTTTTTCTTTTTTAATTTTCATTCCTTTTTTAATCATTTGGTATTAAAATTTTCCTTTCATTTTGAATATCACTTTTGTCATTTTAATTATAAAGTTAACGAGTTAATTAAAAATGTCGAATCTTATAGAATCCGTATACTGGGTTGAAACGGAAGAGGGTAGCAACACCGGGAATTGTTTCTTCAAAGATGGAATTTTCCGACGAGTTGGTGAACACTGGAAAGAGGAACCTTGTGTTAATTGCACTTGCCAAGAGAATGGTCAAGTATCCTGTCAAGCGATCATGTGCAAATCTTGTGCAAATGCAATACCACCAGATCCAGGCGAATGTTGCTCTCACTGTCCACAACCAACGAGTTCGACGGATGTCGATGTCGATAACAAATCGATTTGCAAAACTCCTTTGATCGACTGTAACCTCAATTGCGATCGTTACTTAACCGACGAGGACGGCTGTCAAATTTGCGAATGTTACGAATCAACAAAGGTCAGTTTTTTTTTCTTTCTTGTTTGCATCAAACATATGTTCTAATCTATTCCTTCATTTTTCATTAATCCTCTATATAATTTTATTATCTTACTTATAATTATAATATAAAATTATATGATATAAAAGTTATATATCCATATAGATATAATATACCTTATACTGAGCAAATATTAATTTTTAAATATAAATTGACAATTAATTTCATAGTAAAACAATCAAATAAAAGTTACAATATATAAATATACTAATTTGTTAATTAAAAATTACGGAGGGTTATATATTTGTAATATTAAACAGTAAGAAAAAAATGAGAAAATTTTAGAAATTTCTTTTCGATACTAATATGATATTATCATCTTCATATTTTTTTTCCTTTGTAACAAGGAACAGATCAAATTATTAATAGCAAATTTGATATCGTACGAATTCAAATTTCAACGTATAAATTGGTTTTATCGCGAGAAACAAATTAAACAAATTTATTTTAAGAAAAACAAACTCGTAACTTTTTTTTTATTTTTCTAAATAAAAAATGGAAGCTTATAACTAATGTACACGAAACGCCACGTCGAAAGCAAGTAATGCCAACAAGGAAAATTGAAAAAGCTCGTCTACCATTTAATAATTGTCATTTTTGACGGTAAAAATTTTTCCCGTTTTGTCCGCTTGTGTTTTTGACAGTATAACTATTATTATCTTTTTAACGTTTGTCCTCGTCAAATACAGACATGATTCTGTTAAAATATGAAAATATTTTAGCTGATGTAATAAAAAAAAGAGAAGATTTGATATTTTCAAAGGTTAAAAAATCAGGAATAATAAACGAAGTTCTTATGTTATTTTTAAAGTAATAATAAAATATTGCTATTATTATCTTTATCTTTATCGATCTAATTAAACAAATTTTAGAGATCATATAAGCTTTCTATTTAATCTCGCAAATATAAATAATTTTTTTCCCCTATAAATAATTCCTTTCTACTGTTTTTAAAAAATCATTTTGCTTCCTTATGTCATCTAAAAACAAATTTTCAGAACGAAATGGTCCACACAACATTCGGAAAGGACAAACTCTGTCCAGAATTATCACGCTGTGAACTGGACTGTGATCTCGTAAAAGATGAGAGTGGATGTTCGATTTGTGACTGCCAATCAACATCAAATTCATCGTCACCATCATTGTCACCTCAACAACACCAACAAAATTTGACTGTCTCATCGTCGAATCGAACATTGAACCATCCAAATGTTGAAAGCTTCGAGAATGACGACAATAAGAAAATCGTCTGTCCTGAAGTAAAGTGTGATCTTCACTGTGAGCATGGTCTCATGATGGACGAGAACGATTGCACTTTATGCGAGTGCAAACCGCTTCACGAGGACTGTCCTCTATTCGTGGGATGCAAGAAGAAATGTAGATTTGGTTACAGAACCAACAAACGCGGCTGTCCGGTAACATTCTTTTGTTAACTTTTTATATTTTATATATTTTCCTTTTTAGAACATTAATCCTCAATTTAATACAGAATTATGAAATTGAATAACTTATGATAATTTTGCTATTATTTGAAACTAATTAAAATACTTCTTTTTACGAAATGAAACCATTTTTAATAATTTATTTGATTATTCGAAGCTTCTAAAAGTTATTTTCTCTTATTATTCGGTGAATTAATATTAACTTTTTATAACTCAATGTAATTTTATGTATGTTTATAAAAAAAAAATATTACGTGATATAAAACTTGTAGTATAAAATTTTACTAAAGTAACTATATTACACGTATATTATACCTTTTTACTATACTTACAATTATATTACAGCTATACTATACAAGCTATACTATTACAAGTATACTGTACTATACTAAATATAACTTATATTTACATTAAATTGATTAATTTTATAATATAAAAAAAAAGAAAATTGAAGGAGATTTTCAAAATATTAATAAATGTGTAATCAACGGTGTAAAACTTGAAAGTTTCGTAACTTTATCAAGAAATTGTATATAATGAACGAAAAATCAAATAAAGAAGAAAGAAAGAAGAAATAAATAGAAGTAGAATTGTTCGTTTTTCTTCATTTTCAGATATGTCGCTGTCGTGCGAGTTGCATCAACGACGAGAACGAACCAATACAGGAAGGTGGAAACTGGCTACGAAACGCTTGCACGACTTGCACGTGCGAGGTAGGCGGAAGAGTAAATTGCAAGGAGACCGTTTGTTCGGTGGCCTGTAGCGATCCTTTACCCCCGGAACCGAACACATGCTGCCCAGTTTGTCCGATCAAGGTAAGTTGATCAACTTGATCGCTTTCTTTATCGAAAATCGTTAAACTCACGTTAACCAACAACTTCAAATAATTCGAACAAATCGTAATAATGAAAGAAGATCCTCTATAAAAGTAATAGACTGATTCAATCTTAATTGCTATTTTTCTATTATCAATTCTTTTACTTACATATATATATATACCGGGTGATTCATCTAAAATCGAACCACAATTTCGATAATAAAAACAAATTTCTATATAAAAATATGAAGTATTTTATAATTTAATATTAATTACAATCCTTTTGTTCTTAATGTGAAATCATTTATCAAATTATATATAATCTCATAAAATTGATTACGTGAATATTTATGTTAATTTTTGATGATAAAGAAAAACTTTTGTGAAGGAATATATTTTATTCGAAATATGTATATACTTCGGAATATGTATAATTTAATATTAATTGTAATTTTTCTTCATCCATATGCTGAATGAATCACCTAAACTTGAGAATGTTCCTGTAGATGATAAAAATAAATTACTACGTAAGAATGTATACGATTAGAAACAGAAAAGATATATTTTACAAAGTATTATATGAAATTTCTTCAAACAGAATCTAATTCTTTAATGTATTTAAACCTCATAAAACAAATCAAGAAAGATTGAATTATCCTATGTATTCGTATTATCGTAATTAATGTAAAAGAAATTATTACCTTCCAACATTTATAAATATCAGAGTTCATTATTACGTATGTTAATCGGATTTTATTTCATATAGCATTCAATTCCTTTATTAAAAGTAACCGAGATATATTCACATTCAATTTTAGAAATAAATATTATATATATTATATACATTATATATATATTATATATGTATTATATATAGATATAGATATATATATATATATAAATATGAATTGTTAATATTAAATTACACATGCATTTTCGAACTTCAAAGGAAATTGAGATGGGTCATCAAAGTAGCAGAGGTTGGGGAGTTGTACCAATTACGCTGATCGTCGTCCTGGCATTGCTCTGCCTTCTACTGATTACCCACATCGTTCGTAGCCGTTTCCGTGGTCGACTGTCTCCATCAGATGCAAGCTATTCCTATCCACCACAATACTATAAGTGCGTGCCTGCTTACGACACACCGATGCATCGAAACGAGAAGATCGTGCCACTGTAAAAGACTGTTTTCGACGATGCACAACATTCCCGATGTTCCTCGTTCTTATTTCTTTTCACGTTTCTTAAAGAAAAAGAAAAAGAAATTTCACGAGGATCTTGGATGTTGATGCTCGTCGAGAGATAAAAAAAAGAAAGAAAGAAAGAAAGAAAAAAGGAAAACGAAAGAAAAAAGAAGAAAAACTAATCCGGTTCGATTTACTTTTTTTTTCTAAGAAATCGATATAACGGAGTTGAGAAATAAATAGGACCTTTGCGAGTAGATTCAGTATTATTCTTAAGAGACGAGCGAGACGTGTTTTTGAGGGAGATCAAAGGGAAGAAAAAAAAAACAAAAAGAGCGATGTATAAAATGGGGTGAGGACAAAAAAGAAAAGAAAAAAAGAAAAAAGAAAAGAAAAAGAAACAAATTATTCGACGACACCCCTTGAATTCACTACTTACGCGATCCCCTCGAAACCTCGTTAAGAAAAAGGAAGATGAAAAAGAAGAAGGACTATTAATATACGGTATCGTTTAATCTGTAAATTATAAAAAAAAAAAAAAAGAAGAAAAGAAAAAACGACTTTAGCGTAAAACCGTCGTTGTAAGTGTGCTAACTAGCGTTAACCCTCCTAGCTCCTAACTTATATACATATACATATACATACTATATATATATATATATATATATATATATATATGTGTATATATAATATGTGTATGTGTGGAAAGAGAGTACAGAAAAATAGAGACGGGTCTCCATCGTAGTATTAGTTTCCTTGATCTCTCTGGACCACAACGCGATTAATTGATTAATTAGTATAATTAATATTCGAAAATCGATTATTGTATGCAAGATAATTTTTTGTTCTTTTTCATTTTTTTTTCCCTTTTCTATTCGTTAAAAATAATGTGATAAAAGAGTTTTATATCGTGTCTTAGTTTATATAACTCTTACATTAATTAAATAATTTAATTTAAAAATTTCTTACAAAATTATGACAATTTTTCATACTTTATGCTCGAATTTCATTTTCATTTTTTTTTTCTATTCCCCTTCAATGATCTTCAAGATCATTCATTATTGCTTTGAACGTTACATTGGCGATCGTTTTCGTTTCTATTAATAAAAAAAAAAAGAATAAAAAAGAAAGATCGAAATTCTCATTTGAGAGAAATATCAGACAAAATTCGAAGTGCGAAATGAAAAAAGATATTAATCCTATCCGAGGTCCAATGAAAGAACTAACGAGTCGCGTCAATACATATATATGTATAATCAAGATAAATCTTAGGTTAATCCGTTCGTAACTGTGTTATTAGATCGTTCCTATATATATATATGTATATATATGTATATATATATATATATATATGTATATGTATATGTATATGTATATATATATATATATATATATATATGTATATATATATATATATTATATGTTTATTGCTACCTTCACTCTCTTAGCCAACGAGATACATTTCAGTGTGTGATTCTCCAAAAAAGGAAAAAAATAAGGTAAAAGGATAAGCATGAAATGTGACGAAAGTGTATTGTATATATATGATACCCTAATTAAAAAAAAAAAAAAAACCAAGAGAAAGAAAAAAAAATAATGAGAGAAAAATTTAGTATAAAACGTTTTAATCTGCCCTAATTTGTTTCTTTTTGTTCGCAAAATACAATACTTAGCCCTTTAATCGTCATTTGTAAAACAAAATAAAAGCTCGGTCTTTCGCAGTGCATTGAAATAATAAATTCGAAACTCGTCCAAACAAACCGACGAATTTTCTAAAGACTGAGAGAATACAACTTTTTGCTATGTACATACGTGCCGACGAATCGTCTAATATTTTTTTGTTTATATTTTTTTTCATAATTAATTAATTATTTCCTTGGCAGTTCAACGGTGAAATTGGATTGTTTGCCGCGAGTGCTCTCTCGAGTACTTTTATACACGTATAGATATAACTTTCATAGATTTTGTTCGAAATTTGATAAAAAAGAAAAGGTAAAAAAAAAAGAAAAAAAGAAAAACATAAGCAAAAAGAAAAATATTATTTCAACTTGAAAAAGAAAACGTAATGTGAATGATACGGAAGTGTTGATAGATTGTATAAATGAACGAGAAAAAAAAAAGACAAAAAATTCATGAGTATAAAATCTCAGCGAATCCGCAAAAGACTAAAGTTGAGTCGAACAAAAAAAAAAAAGAAAAAAAATTTGTAACGAAAGTGTGTTTCCAAAGAAACGATGTGAAGTAAAATAAATTTGGTCAAAATTTTGTCATTGTAATGAGAATTCGCACATATCCATGTACTTACACACTTGCACGTAACTCGTATTATCTGCCGCAAATTAACACATACATATATTTTTTCAATGTGACACGTCTTTATATATGTATATATAAATATATACATATATGCATATACATATATAACTAAATACATTGTATTATTACGTAGTTAACGTATAGCGCGCGTGCTAGATTTATTTATATGATAATAATGTACGAGTGCATATATATATATATATATATATATATATATATATATATATATATATTTATATATATATATTTATATATATACTATATATATACTATATACTATATATATATATATATAGTCAATGAACAACAACAGGCTGTTTCGTACTAATACATGTACATCTTGGAGACAATATACATATACATATCCATGCATGCACATATACATATATATATACATACATACATATATATATATATATATATATATATATATACAACATATATATTTAGAATGTTCATCGTAACGATCGCCATGACGTTCAAGCCACTTCCAACAAGTTAGAACAAAATAAGTAATATAATAAAAAAAAAATTAATTTTCAACCGTTAATAAATTACAAAAATTAAATAATAAATATTGGAAGTTCTTTCCAACTAAAAAAGATATCGATATGATAATCCATATAAAAATCATTTCATTTAACAATTTTTACATATTATTTAACAAAAGTAGAGATAATCTAGATTTTTCGTAAGACAACAAATTTTTCGGTGATCGTTCATTAATATAATTTTGTTGTTGATTTAAAATAAATAATTTTTTTTTTCATATCCACGTTTCGTCGAACTATCGAAAGTGATTTAAAAAAAAAAAAGACATGACGACCGTTACATTAAATATTTTCCAACAACATTCATACGTATGTATATGCATATATATTTGTATATATATATTTATGTATGTATATATGCATATGTATGTACGTGCATTTAAATATCTACAAACATGGCATACAATGGGCGATGTGTACGTTACGAAACAATTTCTCGTTATCATTAAAAAGTAACTAAAGAGAGATATACTAATTAATTGACGATAAATAATAACAAAAATAATCCATAGATAAGTTCGAACGTAAAAATCGCTTTCCTTACTCGACGACTCGCTGCAATAAATAAATTTCACTTTAACGCATTTGTCGTACTCGAACTCTCTTTCTGTCATTTTTCAAAAAGATCAGCTTGTATAAAAACAGATGAAAAAATAAATTAATTATTTCGTAAACTTCAGTAAGATAAAAGAAAAAATTGAGTTATTCGCGTCAAAGAGATTTACAGATTAAAAATAAATTTAATATATATATATATATATATATATATATATACATAAAAATACGCAAGAAATGGGGATGATTATCAGATACATTATTCTAAGGAACAGAGAAAGAGAGTTAATGTCTGAAAGAGGTTGTAAGTTTTTGCGTGGTGATGATAATTGATAAATGGATATAGTCTTATGCTTATACGCTCTTTGTACAGTTTCACTGTAACTAAAATCATATCAGTGTAACCTAGAGAGTAATTTAATATATACGTATATTATATAAATATGCATACGTATACATGTTTGTGCACGTGCGTATGCATATATATGTATATATACACACGAACACACGCGATACACATATGCAGGACACGCATACATATTACGTACATATGTCATGTTCAAAGATAGCTCTTGTATGTTAAATAAAAGAAAAGTAAATAAAATTGTTGATACGTGATATTGTAATCCGATGTATGATAAGACCTTTACATAAAAACATAAACTCTTTTTACTTTTACTGTCGAAGTAAACGACTAAATTAGTAGACGAAATTAATGAAAAAAAAAAAAAATAAATTAATAAATAAATAAATAAATAAATAAATAAATAAATAAATAAATAAATAAATAAATAAATAAATAAATAAATAAATAAATAATAAAAATCAAAAATAAATAAAAGAAATTTCGATATCTCATGCAGAAGTAAAAGTTTCAAACACCTTAAGGACCAAAGAAGCTTTATCTCTAACATTTCCAATTAAGCTTGTTTGCTGATAATTAGCCGAAGTTTAACGTCGCGCCCCATTCCTCTTTTCTAATTTTCTTAACCAACTTATGGATGCATCGTAACTTCTTAACGCCCTTTCAAAACGATCCTTCTATTGAGTTTACTAACTCGTTTTAATGAGACATTAATACTGCCAATTTTATCTCTAAACCGCATGAACCTCCAAGTTTCCTTGAATCTAATACAAATACAGTAACGTTAAGTTTGTAAAATATCTTCAGAAGATGGTGAAATTTTATAATTTACCGTTTACGAGATAAACAAAAAAGGAATACACAAGAAGCAATACAAATGAGAAATTAGTAAAACAAGTTTTTAATTACTTTTTAAATCAAAATAACTTCTGCTTTTAATCGCTACTAATCTCTTCTTTTCTTTTGCCCTATTTATGAAAGGGTTAAATAGTACACATTAACTATTGAAAAATGAATGAAATAATAATACAATATGTACGTAAAATTTGAACAGATCCATTAATAATTTTTTATTGATTGCATTGCTTTTACTGATTACATGTATATACAATAATTTATGTACTTCGTTAATGTTATAATTAGAAACGAATATATTCGAATTATGTCAGACGAATTAGAATCATCAGATTCCACTTCCAAGTAATCAGATAAACCATTCAAAACATCTGACATTCTAATGTTTGTATAATAATTATTTAATAAATAAAGCTCTAAGGGGCTCTACACAATAAATATTTTTTTCCATTGAAATAAAGTAAGGACTCATGTCTAAATTATCAAAGACATGATTTGTTATAAATTCGTACAAAAGACCATCATAAGAGTTGATATATGGAATGCATTAAAAAAGGGAGGATAGAGATCTCTGTTAAAACAGATATCTACTACTACCGACTACATCTTTGGTAAGCAAACGATTTTTATTGTTATTGATCGATAAGATAGAAATCATTATTATCATCCGAAATTTGGTCAATAAAATATATCTACTGTTGCATATATAGAAGTCGATAAGGTAGGACTTATCTATTGAGCCTTTTATTAATAAATTATCATATAAAACAATCGATAGTACAGATCGATAATTAAGGCTTTTTATTTTTTATTTTAAAAGGTTTTTATTTTATTTGAAAAAAAATCGTATTATAAAAACTTTTCGAGAATAGTTTACGTACAAATAAAAAGCTTCCACAAAAATTCATCAAAGTGACATCATAAATTATATCTTTGTCTTTAAAATAAGATCGTTTTCATCAAAATCGGTCAAGAATCAAGCCTGTTCTCATTGATAACGTAAATCATTAAAAAATGAGGTATAATCAATAATCTTAAGTAGTATAAATATGTATAAATATTTCTTTACGCTCTACATATTCTAAAGAATTACAAATCATGTCTATTCATTTTCTTTCGAAGAGTCAAAATCATTCATACAAAGCATCAGATATTTCCTTACGTGGAGGTGCATAGTGGGGAAAGAAACTTTGACTGTTTGACTGTTTGATGAAAATTAGCGTTACTGAGACTTCATAAATTGAAAGAAAACTATTAAAAACAAGGTTTATATCGTGAATTCTTATGGTTACGATATCTGTTCTATTGTAATGATTATGGGGTCATTCGAAAGATAAAGATTCTTTTTACGATATTAACTTCTTAAATTTTTTAAATAGGCTTTTATTTACATGAAAATTACTATAAGAAATTACTTATTTTTTAACAATTTTTTCAGAGAAAATAATATTTGTCAAAAATTTGAAAATATAGTTTCTTATAGAAAATCTTTGTCTTTTCTATTTCTAATGAATTTTTGATTATAAATATCGGATAAAAATTGCAACCTTAAGATTTTATGACGTAAACCCTTGTAAACACATAGGAAATGAATTCCTTTAAGATAGCAAGTAAGTTTAGTAGATGTCTGGTCATGTCTGTAAGAGATTTGGAGCTGCTAAACTTCAAATATGTACATAAATATATAAAGTGTTCTAAGTACTATCAGTCTATAAATCTAGAGTTTTTTACAATTAATTTTTACTTTTGTAAGAGAAAAAAGATGAAATACCAGTAAAAGTAATATTAAATAGTAAAAAGTAATATAATTATTAATAAAACAAGTTTTATTATTAAATTATTGAACTTTGATGAAATACAAAAAGTAAGTCTAATTTAAGAGATAAATAATTTGTTACCAATACAAATTTAATATAGGTATTATATATTCTTATAAATACTTTATTATATATTTTATAGAAAATTATTTATTATCATATTATGGTCTAAAGTATTCCTGTAGTGATAGTGAATGATATATAGAAATACCAGAGCAGAGGAATTTAATTGAGTTATAATGTAAGTAAATAGACAAATAGAAATAATTTCTTGTGTACATCCATATATTTTCTTCATCAATAATTGATACAAATTGTATAAAATATTTTTCCATATCACACTTTAGAAAAAAATATTAATATCATTCTATCATATTTTTATACTATTTAATTATTTCATTCAAGCATATTTTATTTATTTGATATTTCTAATATATATATATATTTTTACATTCTAATAGATATAAATATAAATATATCAAATTTTCATTTACTATTATTTTTTACACAGTGGTAACAAAATTGATAAAATATATGTAGACATTTTGACGTTTATTTTGTAAAGAAAAAATATTTAGTATAAAAATATATGCCTTTATAATATATTCTTCATGAATTCGCTCGTAAAGTGAAACAGTAGATTGGTACAGCGGTATATTATCACAAAAGTCGAACTGCCAGCGCTACAACGGCCATATCGATAAAATAAGTGCCGTACAGTCAATATTTTGGCGCCCCCTCGTTCGCGAAAGGTATATGAGAGTGTTCGACTAGGGAGATATAAAAATTCTTGGAAACTAAGCTATTTCTTATATTTCAACGATATTGAACACGTGACAAGACAAATCTTTAATATTTCAAAGGGTAAACGTTGAATTATTATTATTAAAGACGAATATCGGAGAGAAAAATATATATATTAAAGACTAAAGTGAAGAGGGAGCCGTGAAACGCGTGACAACGTCACTGCGCCACGATTACTGCCACGATGGCCGAGGAGGCAGAGATAAACGATAAAGCAACGATGGAAACTATAGCACAGAATATTCTTGAGGTGCGTGAAAATAGAGAATATTGTTTGGTGTGTGTGTGTGTGAAATGCGAAAGTGACAAATATCATATCGAATATGAAGATTTGATTTTTTTTTGTAAATGTATATCTCTACACGCGGTTTATTTATCCGTTACAATTTTGACAGGTCAGTAGTGGAGGCGGGTCCACGACGAACGACGTAAGTACGCTTGAATTTCAAGCTTCGCAAGTAATTTCTCGTCTCGAAGAAGCTGTTGAAAGGGGTGCCGATGGCGGTGGTACAACTTGGAACAATACTTCGGGTTTTCTTTCGCGTGCGAAAAGTCCTGAAGAAATATTAAGTTTGATACAGGTAAATATTCTTGATATGGATGCCATTGCTCTTACACGATTGGTTTGACTTGCAAACGTGAGAAAACGATTGGTTCTCACAGCTTAGAATTATCTTTTTATTGGTTGTCCGTCGCGTGTTCACCACTATTAGCTTGTTTTATATTGGATATTGTACATTGGAGGTAATTTCAAATGTTGACGATTTTATTTTAAAATTCAATTTTACAAATAATCTTCAATATCTATGACATTATATTTGTAAATTTTAATAATAATTTTCAAAATTTTCTTTCTAATTTCATGTAATTTTATAATATCGATAAATTATTTTTGATATGATTGTTGATTGAATTTAAATAAGAATTTATATAATATTTTTATTTTGTATTATTTTAACATTTCATAGGATTTAGTTATCCATGAAGATGCACCGCAAACTACTGAAGATGATACGGGAGAACCAGCAAATAGTCAAGTTACTAATTTACCTACTTTGACGGAAACAGCAAAGCTAGCTTTAATAGCACATACTATCTCTGCTTATGCAGTTGCACTTCCAAGGTCTCATGCTCAAAGATTAGCTGGTCGCTTAGCTGCAGACACAACGCGATGGCTTAGTCATATTTTTCGGTTTATGGATTGTGCTTCTTCGTTCCATGAAGATCATTTGGAAGGATTGGTTAGAGTAACTAGACTAGCTCTACATCGTAAATATCCTAGATATATGGAAGAAGGATTTACAGCTCTTGCTTCATCGTCACCTCTTATTTATAGCTCAGTAGCTGCCCCTTTAGCTGTTGTTCAACATTTGTGTAGACAGGTACATTAATTTTTGTATTATCTAACAATTTAATCCACAAATAATATCTTTTAAGATACTTTTATATTATAGGAATATGTGATATTACTTCTTCAATTACAGCTTTCTTTACCACTTCATTGTGTAAGACCTATTCCTCATAATACTATGTTCGGGTCACGTTATAGTATGGATATTGCTGCATTAGAAAGACGTTTAGCAGAAGATACGCAATCTAATAATGTTACACCGTTATTAGTTTTGGCAGAAGCAGGATCTGTATTAACAGGACATTGTGATAATATCACACGATTACGTGCTATTTGTGATAAGTATAATGTTTGGTTACATTTGAGAGGTCATTCCTTAGCAGCATTAGCATTGAATAATTCTACAAGAGATTTGGTAATTGAATTGATATTCCTTACATATATATGAATGACAAGTTTATGAATAGTGAAATATACTTTTTGTTTTAGCCTTCAAAGATCGCAGATAGTATTACTTTACCATTAGGTGTATGGTTAGGTATACCATCATTACCAGTTGTTGTATCCTTTTAAATATTCAATTTCTAATTCACAATTGTGATTTTATTCGATGAACAATTTATGTAATAATTTATTTTTTCTTAATTATTATCGTTCAGACATTGTATAGATTAACAGATACAAAAGGTGGAAGACCCACTACACGAGACACAACATTATCCCTTATGTCTGGTTTAATGGCAGATTCATTGTCAAGAAAGTTACCAACATTACCTTTATGGTGTACATTGCAAGCTCTAGGTAGAGATGGTGTACAAAATAGATTTAAACAATGTTTTTCAGCAATTGAAGAATTGTACAATAAAATTAAAAAACTCAGTTGTATCAGTTTATTGGTATGTTATATATTTACTGAAATGAGTTCTTAAACAAATTTTATAAATCTAACTAATAAAATTATTTCAGAGTCAAACACCTGGTGGTGAATCTGGATCATATACAATAAACGATCTTTTAACGAACCCTGTTAACAGTTCACAAATATTTGAAATTGTTTCAAGTTCATTAGTTTTTCAGTTCGTACCTGCAGATCGTGATCCTCAAGCCATAGAACGTGTACCGCCTTATTACGATAAATTAAATTCTTGGTTGGGACAAATATTGCAGAGGGATATAGAAAATGTGCAAATAGAACTTTGTGAAATTGAACATCATGGTGTCGCTATTCGCATTTGTCCTTTGGAAAGTCCTGAACAGCCACCAACTTCTGAAGATATAGATAATGTAGTAGCATGTCTGGAGCAACAAATAGTAAGATAGATCTAAATTTTATTATAATAAAAATATTGTTTAATATATTTTTATATAAAACATAATGATGTTTTATCATTAGGAAATATTGTTGGCCACAGTTGAGCACAAAGATACTTTCGTTCGTTTAGTTTCTGAGAATGATTCATTACACCTGGTAGAAATGCCAGGTTGGGCAGGCTTAGGTGGTGTTAGATATGCTCCGCCAACTTGGATCCATGTTATGACGGATCAAGCTAAAGAAGAATTGAATAAATTAAATACGCAATTAGTAGAAGCTTTACGGAGTACAGATGCTGCTTTTTCTCTTGGCGAAGGAGCAGATGGATTAGCTTGTGTGCGATTTGGCATGGTTACACAAGATACAGGTTCTTTTGTTATAAGTATCAATTGATCAATTAGATTATCTAAGTGACCATACATTTAATTAAATTATAACTTATATTGTGATTTGTAGATGTGGCAGAATTATTGTCTTTAGTTCTTCAAGTAGGGCAAGAGGTGGAAGCGAGCTCAAAATTATTAGATACTATATCAGAAGTGGTTAAAAGAGGTATCGAAGCAGCACAAACAGATTTAGAGAGAGAAAATGCAGAAAAGCTTTGGCAAGAGGGTATCTTAAGGCATGTACCTGTAGTAGGAACATTAGTCAATTGGTGGAGTCCTCCTTCTAAAGAAACTGGAGTGCGAGGACGCAGTTTAAATTTACAAGCTGGTACAAATGAGCATATTTAATAAGTTTTAAAAAAATTCAATCGTTACCAATTGCGTTCTTATGCATTTTTTTCTTTCAAATAGGAGTTGTCGAGAGTACGGAAAATATTTATAAGTATCATATGCAATTACAACCAAATGCAACTAACAGCAATGGTTCTGGTGCAAGAACACCACCTCAACCACTTGTACAAACACCTGTTGGAGCTGGAAGCCAAAGTCATAGTCGATCATCCAGTCATTCCAGTCTTCAAAGTGGTAAAAGTATTTCGGTAATAACAAATACTACTTGTCATCCTCAAGTTAAAGAAGAATCTAGTGAAGTTAAATCGTAGTAAATATTACACACATTATGAATATAACAATGATTTCTCTCTTCAAATAATAAGAAAAGTGGACTTGACAGGTAAGCAATGAATTTATAAAAAAATTATGTAAAATATTTTCAAAAAAAGATACATTAATATTTATAGAGTGAAGTATTAATTCCAAAATTTGTATATTAAAAAGCTTGTTAACAACATCGTAAAGTAAAAGATTGCTAATTGCTTCTTAAGCGATTATATAAGAGCTATGAATCATTTTATATTTCTAAATATTTTTTTTTTTTTTTTTTTTTTTAACGAAAACTTTTATTATAGACATTTTCTTTATGAATCTAATTCATTTTTAAATTGTCCTTGGCCCTGTGTACTTATTAAGTGTATCAAATTATTTCTTTAACGAATTGATATAATTAACCACGTGGTGATACATTTTTTTTTCATAGCACAATATCTTTCTTTCTATATCATTGAAAACAATATTATATTATTTTCTCAATATAAGATTAATGTGAATAAACTTGATGGATAATAACAAATAGATACATTTATGACAAATAAAATGTTATAATAAATATTTAATTAACATTTGACCAGGCAATGCATTTTTATAATAAAAATTGTTTTTTCTTTTTCTTTTTGTATTAAATTATAATATTTCCTAATATCGATCAATTTGTTTTTATTCATCACGTTAATGTTAATAACAAAATATAATGCTTTTATAGCACAATTATAAACGATAAATGATATTTAATAACTCGCGATAAGTTAACGTGATATTGTGATTTCTTTAAGTATTAATAAGTGCCGTATATTTGATAATCATCTTCTCTCTGTAAAAAAATGTTTCCTTTATTTTTTATTTCTTTTTTTCTTAAGTAAAGAAATAAGAAAAGGAAAAGTGTAATTAAGTTTCGTAACAGTAATTGAAACAGTTCAAGAAATAAAACATAAATCACCAAAGACATTAGAAATACAGTGAAGCAAGTTAAAATTTTTCAAATGTTGCTAAATTAAATAACATTTAATCACGCATAATGGAATTTGTATGAAGTTCCAATGCAATTATTGAGGTAAAATGTTTTCATTATGAAATAATCATGCATTGTTGACGGATAAATAAAATAAATTAAGCTGTATGTATATTTATGTACCAAACAGTTGTAATAAAGTATTGCTATTAAATAAATATTAAAATACGTAAGTGACATAACAACGTTATAAAAAGTATGAAAAATTGGATTTTTAAGGAATTTTTCAAAACAATTTACATTTCTTATTTATATTTTTATTTCTCTTTTTGCAATATTCGCATACCATTACAATAGGAGGAATTAAATCTGGCATATGGCAATTACACACAATTGTAACTCACAGAAATGTCATCCAGTGACAGATTTCGGCTTATACTCTTGAAATAATTTCCTTTATTACGATCTTCATTCAAAGTTATCCACATCACGCAAACAAAAAAGAAACTTTTATTGAAATCTTAACTTATAATACATTTTTTCAATAGCCTCTACACACTTTTTAAATATGTAAGTCTCTTTCGCGCAATGAGAGAAAAACACAAAATATATTCACATATATAACTTACTCTCTTAAAAATTACTATCGTAACGCTTTAAGATTTTATTATAACAATGTCGTTATGGGAAAACAAAAAGTTCACCATGTCAATGACCGACAAGCATACATTTATATATATATGCATTTCAAAACGTTAAAACCTTGCAAAAAAACGAAGTATCAATGTAACATATTTAAAGATTTTTAAAGATATTACCATAATTAATCGTTTGTTAAGAAATCTAAACAAATGATTATAGCGCTTTGAATCATACAATATCAGTCTTCCAGGGTGCACAAAAGCTTAGGTCATTCAGAATCCAAGTAAAAGATGATAAATGATATATTATCACATGTTCGTACTTTTAATCGATGTGTAATACATTTTATTTTATTCATCGACGACTTATCCTTCTCCTTTTTTTTTTTTTTTTTTTTTTTTTTTGATTGCTAATAATTATTGTGATAAGTTTTTTTTTAGGCTCATATCAGAAAATGCATCAATTCAAAATGAATATTTCTTTGTGTCTTATAATTATACTACTTCCACTATCAATTCTTTCGAAAATAATTAATTCTCTTTCTCTCTTTCTCTTTCTCGCCCTTCGTATCCCCTTCATACAACTTCTTCAACTTCTACTAATTTTTCTATTTTTCTTTTTGTGTTCTACCCAACGCTTCATACATACTTGTATAAAAACGATTTAGCAGGAATTAAATGCAATTGTACTTATTAGAAAAATTGATTCTTAAATCTTCTCTCTTTTTCTCTCTCAGAATGTGGTATTTTTTTTTTTAATGGTACAAATTGACAAACGATTAGAATAAAAGTTTCATCAACAATCGTCTAGACTACGTACGTACGACTCTCGCATATTTAGAATTTAACAATATTTCCTTTTCCTAGCTCTGGTTTCATCAACTTGTAAATAGTCGATGCCACTGTATTCGTACAGACAACGAACTTGTGTGCACAATCTTTTTTTTTTGACCGGACCAATCAATGATTTCCCTTTTATCGAGTTAACTTTTTCTTTTATTTTTTAGTTGTAGCTTTTGCATTCTCTTCTGAACAATTCAGAAAAATATTTTTGAATGAGTTATTATTCACGCTTTTGGACTGTGTTAAACATTCGACTTTTTCGAAGTTTCCTTTTAAGTATTGTATTACAATTTTTTTTTTAGTTTTTTTTATTTTTTTTATATTTTTTTTTTATTTTTGTTAACTTGGACAATTCTGTGTATTTGATCCCGTTTGCGCGTGTTGCAGCAGTCTTCAACGACAGAGACGATTTTCATTCTCTAAGTTTTTCGTCGCTATTCTTAAAATTATTATACTCAGTGTTCTTCGATACCGTCCGAGTTTCAAATCATTTACTTATATCTTTTATCATTAATAGATCTCATTTTTGTCTTCATTCAAAGCCGTCACGCGCGTGAGTTTATTTTAAGGATTGAATATTTAAATAAATTTTGAACTTGCTTAAAAAATTTATATTAAATTTATAAACTTTATTTGAAGCCCTACAAATTTGAAAGTGAATAATTTCCACGATTAAGTTAATTATATATGAATAAAAATTTAATTAAATATGAATTCACGTAATTAAAAAATAAAGCTTACGTCTAATGAAGTTGTTTATCAATACATACATACATACATACATACATACATACATATATATATATATATACACATATACACACACATATATATATGCATATATAAAAAAAATGTGAATTGATATACATTAATTGAAAAATAACTTGAAAGAAATATATAATTTTTGCAAAATAACTAATCTTATGATTACTCGTTGGCAAATATTATTATTATTATTAAACTACAGCGATATCTCAGAACACTGAATTAGAATGAAGTCGTGTTACACTTTACGTTTTATTTATTCACGAATAATATTCTCCCTTAAAGATCTAAGAAAGGTATGGGCGTGTGTCTGACACTTGTATCTAATGTAGCTTCAATGATATTAGGTATAGTAATAGTAGTAATAGTACAATTATCTGATAAAACAGTTTAGTACCTTTTTCTCTGTTTTCTCTTTATGTTTGAAAAATTGAGCTTTTTTTTTTAATTTGGCAAGATCTTTTCTTTTCACATTTTTTCTTTTTTTCTTTAAATCTTTCATCTCCTTTTTCCTTTTCATCGTTTAAACGAACGTACACAAGTTTTATTTAGTGACTAGGATACTTTGCCTTTTATCAGCAAAATAAACAGCACGCATAGTTCGTTTTTTGGATTTGCGTACGTGCTGTGTGTGTGTGTGTGTGTGTGTGTGTGTGTGTATGTGTGTGCACGTGCTTTTCAAATGTTATTAATCGCCGATTACTTATAATTAATGTTCAACTAAACTAAATGTTACTATCCTATGCGCTACTATTTTCTCTTCTCTCTTCAATAAATATTACAATTATTTACAACCGATGAAACTTTCGCTATTTGCATTCACCTTTCTTACACCTACTCTGTATATTTAATATTGCAATGGTAATGTTTTTACGAATTATATCGAAGATAAGATTCTAAAGTCACTCTGGAAATTACAATTATGATAGAATGTTTCTTTCTTTCTTTCTGAAATGGCACTCTCTCTTCCTCTATTTTATTTTGGAAAATCGGTGAAATAAGAAAGTACAGAATAATGTGTAGCTGTTATGTTTTTGTTTTAAAACTCGTAACATCTAGATTCAAATTATCACACTTTACACATTTACTCGATTATCTTAACGAACTAATATATTATTTACAAGTTTACTGAATTATTTGCGGAATATAAAGTCAATCTACACAGATTCGTTGATAACTTATTATTTAAATTGTTTAATCTTTTATTTATTTAGGTCTTGTCTAGACTTGTTAAACATCTTATAGGAAGACTCTGCGCTCCGCAGAAAATTCAATAGCTTAAGTATTTTTCTGTCTGTATATGTTCATGTCATTGTATATATATTTGTGTATGTGTGCGTGCGCGCGCGTGTGTATTATTTGTTTTATTTCTTTCTTTAATATTATTATAATTATTATTATTGATAATCATTATTAATTATTATTACTATTATTATTTTACGATTTAAAAACAAAAATACGTAAGAAAGATCTGCCCTTCCGATACTTCCACACAAAAGGCCATGTATATTTATTTACCTCATAGTAAATAAATCTCAAAAGGCTATATAATATTCAAAATTCCCTTTTTTTTTTATTTTTTTTTTTCTTGTTATGTTTAGACTTGCTGATACATCAGACGATTATTATTATTATTATTTATTTATTTTTAACTTTGCACTAGTCGTATCAAAACTGAAAAAAGAACGTGTCGTTGATGGGCACGTTTGTGTATGTTGTGTGTGCTTCCGTTACATTTGTACTTAAAAAGTATATATATATTTATATATATATATATACATATATATATATATATATATATATATATATATATATATTCGCCTGAGTATTGGCAGTATATCGCGAATTATTTATTTAATAAAAATTCTCATTTGGGAGTGCGTTGCTCGTAAAAATCTTCAGATTCGTCATTCTGTGCTGCATTTTGTTCCATACTTAAATTATTAACGATGATAAATATACGTATGTATCACTCATCCGTTTTTCTTTTTGTTTTTTTGTTTTTTTTTTTATCGTACGGTAACTTGATATTTACTGTACGTACATACATACATATATATATATATATACGTATTACGTATTCGTTACAAGAAGTTTATAGAATGACTCACAAAAAATCAACACATTTCACATTATACGCCGCATGAATAAAAATATAAAAAAGATATAAAAAATTGTCCTCTTGGTATCTCCTTCACGTTAGATATCGTCGATGTTTAACATCACGATTTTTATATATATATGTATATCAATCGATATTATCGATAAAAGAGTTTTAGAACGTATGAAAGTATACGTTCTTATTTATATATGCGATTCGAATATACATTTTTTTTTTCTTTCTTTTCTGTAAGTCACGAATTGAAAATAATAATCACCAAATATATAGATATATTATTGGATATTATCATTTTCTTCGTGGATTAGCGATTTTTCCGAAGATTTTTCAGATCACGTATCTCGAATGAGAGAGAAAGACAGTAATGGCTGAATGTTCGAAAGGGACTAACGTAGAAGGATCGACCAATTTTTTCTGTACATGATATACAAATACAAAATTTTATACATACATATATATATATATATATATATATATATATATATATATATATATGTATGTACATATATAATATAGCACGCCTCCGATGAAATTTCTAATATCTGAGACATGTTTGACCCTTCCTCCTCTTCTTACATTTTTTCATTCCTTTTTTTTTATACATAGATCAACGATAGATCTCATCCGTTCAAGCATCCATGCCGGGAACCTCAAAAAATCGAGTGTTTATTCGAATCATTTCCCAAAAAATTCCTAGCTTTGTTAGACCGTATTTATTCGTCTTCTCTCATAATGGTTATTTTTATTTTGACTGCAATTTTTTTTTTCTCATTTGATGTTATCAATAGGTCGCTTAAAGTTCCGTAACAGCATATAGATTAGGATCACTACCCTGTACTTGACTCAATGTAGCTACAGTTGGTTTTTCTTGTCTTCCATGTGCTCTGTTATATGTACCGTACATGTTAGGTACAGCATTATTTTGCGCTGTACCATTAAACTGGCTACGAGTAAAATTTCTATCCAATGTTCTCACTTGATCTTGCATTTGATCTTGTATGCGAATGTTAGGTGCTTTGTTTCTCACCAATGATCGGAATTGATTCATATTAGCTTGCGATCGCGACTCGAATTCCCAACTTGGCTGATTCGCTGGATTTGGTGGTAAAGGACGATTTTGGTTCCACGCTGGCGTTGGACCACGTTTTAAATTGGCTAAATTTTTCGGATCCAACGTTTGTGTTTTTCTCGAATCTTGAAAAGTCGCCAAATGTGCAGGCCCATGTGAATTGTGAGACAGAGTACCGGTAAAGGATGCCACGCTTGGTGTCCAAGGTGGTTCTCTACCTAGGATTTTATATATTCGGTATAGTACTCTAATGTAATAATATCATATAGAGATGACGAAGGAGAATTTATTATTATTTGTATATCTTTTTTTGAAATTTTATCTCACCAGACCCTGCGGGGGCGTGCCCTCAGTAGAAGTCACTAGATTCTAAAGTTTTGCATTGCTTGCTCAAAGTCGCGTACTGGCCAGGTTGATCTCCGAGTCCAGAACGGTGCTCAGTTCGTCCACCTGTTGACTGCTGATTATGCTGAGACGATTTGTGATCCCCGCCTCCTCCGCTCCCGTTAACACCCCCACCTCTATAAACGGTAAACAAAAGAGAACAAAGTTGCAGCATTATCTTTCTCTTAGATGATTCCTTGTCACTTAACTTATGTCAGTTTAAATCAATTAATCTAAATAAAAAAAAGAAAATGTAGATGTTAACGATGATGAAAATTAAATGAACAAAAAATCAAACAATTATGAATTATGCGTGAAGATGTAATTCGAGCGTCACTAATGAATTTAATATCGTTTGAACATTCGTCGTTGAAACATCGAAACATTATAATTCATACAAACATGTTAAAATACAGTCAATGAGAGAGTAATAAAAAAAAATAACATCGAACGCACACAGTTACCGTGTTCGATTTAATCACGTAGTTTTAATGAAATAGCTGTTAGTTCGAGGTAACGTGATCAAAAGATAAAATCGGTATTCACTCACTATCCTGTGCACTGTAGTATGTTCTATATAACAACGAAAGCGACATTCAGAAAAAGGCGCAGCGGAGCCTTGCGTTGTTAATCGCTAAAGCTTGGACATTCGCTTTCTAACATTTCCTTAATAATAAAATACTGTAGATTTTTTATTATTTTTTCCTAGCAGTTCGGTAAAAAATTTGGTATAGAAAACTCATGTCCATGCTCCATTTTATAACACTGATGCTTTAAACTATTATTCTCTATGATATCAAGTAACAAATTCGTTTAAATAAACATCGCTGAAAAGCGATTTTTAATGCACATTGCCTATAAAAAAGTTGAACAACTCATCAAATCTATTCTAAGCAATCAGCAATGATGGCATTAGAAAAACGGTATTCTCGCGAAAATATTTAAACGCACCGACATCGTCTCAGTGAAAGTCTTTGAATATTTCATTTGAAAGATCTCGTTTGATAAAAGTACGAGTATGTAAAGGAGAAAAAACATAAAAAAGTCTCATGCACAAACTTTAACATGCTCTCGTGCAGCTGACGTGCTCGAGCAGTCGCAGTAGCGTAGGACGGCGGGGGCGGCGTTAGCAAGAGAGGCTGCTTAATGGTATTATGGGTGCCATGAGCATTTGGATTAAGAGAAGGGGCTGTAGGCGGGTACGACCCTTGGCCACGAAGGGTCCTAGCTGCTATCGCTTGAGATGCTGCCGATGGTGGCAAATATGGATCTTGTTCATCCACTTGATGGTAATCTCTTCTAGAACAAATCGTAACAGGCATCATATTTTGTTCATTCATTTCTTCATATTTGATTAAAAATTTAATCTAAACTAACCGTTTGCGTATATATATCCACGTGTGAGAATCAACCCATACCAAAACAGTAAAAAATAGTCCACCGGCTAGACTCGCAAGTAGCATGAAGGTAAGGCCGTATCTGAAAAGTATGATCTTGATGCAAAAGTTTATGGAACACCGCGTAACGCGATGAGAATAATTAGAAAAATTATCATCGATTGAAATTAATGCTTACAATCCCAAGTGACATAAACTTTTAGCAGCATGAACATATTGCTTGTGAAGTGGCTTACAGTCTAGTAACGTTGCTAGACCAGATACGAGTCTATTGACCGCGTTAACGTCAGTTGAGAGGCTACTCAACTTGGGCTTTAGTTGATCATGCTGTTCCTTGAAGAGTTCTACCGCTAAACGTGTAACAGTATTCAAGTTTAGCCTCATATTTTCTACAGCTCGTTGTCCGTCTCTTAGTCTCTGTGTAAAAGGATTCGTGCGAGTGTTCTCGCAATGCGTGTAATACGAGAGTACCTCAGAGGCCAAAGTGGAGGGTACCGATCTAGTTAAATAACCATCCGGTGACACGCAGAGATCACCGAGGGCAACCGACGTTGCTAAGTAAAGAGAGGCCATCAACCAAGAAACTATTACCGCAAATAGTCCGAATACAGAAAATCTGAAAACGATCGAACTTATTCATTTGTTGATTTTATATTCAAGAGAAAAAAAAAAAAAAGAAAAAAAAAAGAGAATTCTTTTGTTCATTTTTTTTTTATTTCTAAACACTTACGTAATTAGAACACATCTTGAGTGTCTAGCAACTCCGACTACTAATACAACGCAAAGAACAAGAAGTGCACTCAGTACCGCCATAGTAATGGGCCACCTCAGTTGCTCGATTTTTTCTCCCATGCTAATGGCTCCTGCAAGACTGATCCCGCTTAATGGCTTTCGGATTTCGAAGCTTCGGTTGACGGCAATGCTCGTGTTTTGTTTCATACTATTCAATGCTACCAATAGTAAACCCAACATTGTTTTGTTGCTAACAGGTGCATCAAATTCGTCCCCCAAAGCAGTCAACTGCCGCTGTACTTTCTCTTGTAATGTCGCCTCTATGGTGTCTGTCTATAGAGAGAAAAAGATATTTTCTATATATACATATATACATCTATTTATTTATTTTTTTCTTTTATTCTAAATTTAACTAGTCGTGCAAAGAGCCGTTCGACTTTCTCCACGTTCTACTTAAAGGCTGGATCAAGATACATTTTCGATACATATCCGTTTCCAATAAATGACGTTTTATATTAAGCAACGCGAAGGAAACGCAGATTGCAGCATGCAAGAGAGAAAGAGAGAGAGAGGGGGGAGAGGGGGAGAGAGAGAGAAAGAGGGAGGGAGAGGAAGAGAGAAAGAGAGAGAGAGAGAAAGACAGAGACACTTGATAATCGTATCGACCTCGATACGATGGATCTTGACTCGAGTAATACCGCAAGAGTAGTTATAATTTACGATGACGGCATTTGAGTCCATCGAGTTTTCATATCGATACAGAACAGAAAATGCAGCTAATGAAATTCGAAACGTTCAAATGATTCGATTATTGGCAATTCGGGATCGAACGATAATTTAGAATCGTTGCTGCATACTATGAACGAAAGAGAACGTGGTTATTGTCAATGGTCAATCGTCGTTATCAATCGAATCTCTATTGCAAATTTTCTATCACTTTTGTAGCCATATGTTGTATGCAAATTATTGTTTAATTAAAATATACATATATCTCATTGAATATGTTAATAGATATAATTATACATTGAATTTGAATAATTTGATATAATGAAGATATATTTATATTGTCTTCAATTATTTTCATGATATCTAGAATATTCTGATATCTATTTAGACCTTGAAGATCGTGGAATTTGTCGAATAATATTCCAAGCAATTCGAAATATCTTGCGATCCAGTATCAAACACGAAACGCGTTTCATTTGGAATGGCACGTCTTCGAGGGATAGTTTAGTTTATTGATCGAGGTTGAACCTGGTTTCTCACGCCCATGAGGATCCCGTCGACGTTCTTCGCTGCCGCGACTAATTGTACCAAACCATTGTGAACGTCGTCATTGCCGTAAAGGCCAACAGCGACCGCTCCGCAGCAGAGCAACGCAAGGATGGCCAGTGAACACTTCAGCAGGGTTATCGACCTCCTGGGCCGCGGCTTCCGGTCGCAGCATCTCGTTACTAGATAAACCAACAGTACCAGTAACGTCAGGATCAACCAGGCCGCAGGAATACTCCCGAGGATACCCAGGCTCTGTAATTATTAACGATGATCATTAACATTTCTCTTTCTTTTTTTTCATTTGCTTTTTAATTTTTTTATTTCTTTTTCTTGTTTCGTTTAGAAAAACTTTTATCGCATTGATATCATTAAAATGCGAATGGAAATTTTTATTCCATAATATTTGAAAACATTAAAAAAATATTGTATATACTAGGATTATCATTAATGAACTGAATTCGTTTGAAATAATTTATATCAATTTATTGATAATTTTCTAAGATCTATATTTGTTTAATACATTTTTCAACGTTACAAGTTTGGTTTCTCTAGAACATCGTTTCTGAAAAAAAAAAAAAAAATTCGAGCCAGAATTAGCCGATTAGAGGATGTGTGGAGAAAAAATAAGTGAAAATGAGTCGAGCGAAGAAGCGCGCATGTATGTTTATGTGCGAGTTTCAGAGGGTGGCTTATTGAAGGGCGAGGCTAAAAAAATATGTTGAAGCGGGATAAACAGTCCTCCTGGTGTTCCCAATTACCACGACTCGGTGTCGCGTCGAGGGTGCTCAGACGTGGGTCTCCGTCATCCAGAGGCTCCAGCAGGCACCACCTTTCCTGACTTGGTTTTCACCAAGTTCTTTATGGGAATCTCGACTACGAAGTAACTCAACCCTACTCATCTCTTACTTACTCCCTATCGCAAAAGCAATGCATTCGCACGAAATTTCGCATTTATTCGTATCCCTCGAATCCAACACCGCCATCACCACCATTACTCTCTTCGACGTAACACCAAAGATAGGGAAAAAGAGAAAGGGAGAGAGTTAAAACGAGTTCGCTTTTTCAAGAACTACCTCCGACGAATATTCAAGTGTAACATAATTTCCCTGCAAAACTATGGCTTTTTTTTATTTTCTCTTCCTTTTTTTTTCTTCTTTAGTGGAAATCATTAGTCAATTATTTAATTTTTTATATTGTTCTAATCAATCGTTATCTACTTTCTGTATAATTTTTAACTTGAAAATAACGTAGTACAATCTAGTAGAATGAATTTTCAATTTTCAATTAGTAATAATATATAATTCACTGTACATATAATTTATTCAAATCATCATTGTCGTCATCGTCGTTGTCGTTGAAACGATCGAAATTGGAACATCATTATTGTCCTATTGTGATCGTCATATATGTAAATGAACATGATTGTACAAGATTGTAGGAGTAATTTTTGATTACTTAAACGATACATCCGTCAATGATTACCTAGGAAAATGTATCTTTATTAAATACGTACACGTACATACATAATATATTTATATAGTACAAAGTACTCAAGGATATTCGTAGATAGGAGAGTTGATTTAAACATCAAAGCTTGCTTGACAGAGCACCGAAAACTCAACGTAGTCAAACATCTCATATATACCTGTCCTGCATTATAGTTCCGGTCGTTGATGTCATTGTAAACAATGGGTCAGTTCGTTCCGAGACGTCGAGCTTTACGTGGACTCCATTTCACTGACTTCGAGATACGAGTATTATTGTCTTCTTAATAAAGACGTAATATTTACTCGAGCGATTCTTTGCACTCACTGCACATTATATTTCATTATTATATCATCACCCTAACAAGTTAATAGATTTATTAACTCTGTGATGTCAAACTCGTATCACATTCATAGTTATTGAATAAACGTATGTATATATGTTTTCTTCAAAATTAATAACGATATCTACTATATATATATATATAAAATGATAGAATCTATGATAATGTAAAATCTCCATGGGACGATAAATTAATAAACTCGAAATATCAAACTATCGTATTAATAAAATACTAGAATTATAATTAATATAACGCTTTTAATCCCTTGGTAAGCGATTTTTATTAATTAATTATAAATATTTTTTAAATCGTCAATATATATGAATAGTTTGAACTATATAAATAATTAAATATCGGTATTGTATTTATTATATTACGTACTGATATTTTATAAAATTCTAATTAAATATTCAAAAATACTGATCCAATAAATAGGAAACTTAATACAAATGATGTTAAATAAAAATATTTCTTGCAATAAAAATGTGTAGTTATGTATACTGATATACAATTCAAGTGTTGTCGCCAAGACTTGAGTTAAACGAGCGTCGAAAGATTTGATTAGTTGAAAAGTAAACAAGACAAGAACAATGCCGTTTTTTATGAACTATGAGTTGAACAAAATAATAATTGACAAATGTGATAACATAATGATTTCGTGCATTAAAACGAATGGGATATTACAATTTTAATATAAATTATGATCGTTAACAAAAGCTAATATCCACAAAATTCAAATTTGACTCTGTCTAAGCAAAGTTGAAAATGAGATAGCGTGAGGATGAAAAGATAAAAAGGAACTGTGAATGTTGAGCGATGAGTGTAAGAGAAAGAAATAAAAGAATAAAAAGGACGAAACGAAAAGGTTAGAGAAGTAAATGGAAGAAGGAGGAGGAGAAGAAAAAGAGAAATTCGAGTAGTAGAACGAACGAACGAACGAACGAACGAACGAACGAACGAACGAACGAATGAACGAACGAGTTAGCTGGACGTCACGGGTTGCAGTGGCAGAATCAACATGGAAAGCACAATGGCCCGGGAAAATTCAAACAATGCACAAAGGCATCGCATAATGCGCCTAGGGGCAATGTGTGGGTTTTAACGGGCAAGGAACACTCGTTCTCCACCTCCTCCATCTCCATCTCCACTTCCATCTCCACCTCTTTCTCTTACTCGTTGTCGTCGTCGTTTCTGGAGCGGCTTCGTCAAAATTTCCGAGAATACATTTTCGCGAAAAAAGAAAAATGAAAAATAAGAAAAGAAAAAAAGAAAAATTCAAACTCCACTCCAAAACCGTCGTCTCTCCATTTTTCTCTGCTTCTTCGTATATTCGTTCCTATGTATAGATATGTATTATATGTGTATATGTATGTATTGAAAATCATCGAGAGAGAAAAATATTTTCCTCTGAACGATATTGCTGTACTTTTGAAGCATAAAAAAATTTTTAGGTATATATTTTGACATATTTGCTAAAGGTTCATTTCGAATTGATAGGGTATATTGAAATATTCATAGCTAGAAAAAAATAGCACGTTCGATATAATATGAATAAATGCATTTTTCTCTGTATCTAAATACAAATGGTTTATCGACATATACATATATACATACATACATACATCTTGTCTTACAGAGTTACTTGAATCGACACGACAAAACTGACATCGTTATCGACATTTTTCGACAGTTTCATCGTTCTATTACAAAAGACGGTCGAGCTTTTCAGATTTGAAAATCGGGAATCGCTAAAAGCAATCGTGAATGTTCGGAAAAGTTTAGATAAATCGAAAATAGGTCTCTTGTATCGTATTTACATACATATATACATATATAAATTAATGTAAAAAACAAAATATGGGTTCTTATAAAATAGTAATCATCGATTTCATTGAAATAAATGATCTAACCTCAAGATAAATCTCGGAATGTGGATTGAATGTGTTGTTGACTGAATGAAGAGAGACGTTAAGATGTGGCAGACTGTGGAAGACCCTTGCTAATTGTGGTACTGTATATTGTTCGGGAAGCTGCTGACCACCCGCCATTTTGGAGAACCCTTGACTGCCGAAAACCCCGTTGAAGAACTTCTCCTTCTCGTCAAGACATGCTACGGTGCACCTGCAATCATTAATCACACATATTTATTTAATTTCATTCAAATAAATTATTTTGCCGAGGCAATTAAACAAAATTACTATGTAATTGAAAATTTTCATCTAATACCATTATAATACTAACAACAACAACAATAACAATAATAACAATAATAACAATAATTTTTATATTATATACATATTTGGAATAATCCGGGCACCAAAATTTTTTATGTAATTTCAAAAATCAATTATTCTGTTTTCAAATTTTGTAGATAATTTTTTTATAAGTTGAAAACAAATGAATCTATAAAGTCTCAAAAAAGAATAATTGACTTTTATGATCATCAAGGAACTTTTGGCCCATAGTGTATAATAATTATGATTATATATACTAATTTTTACATATGTATATGATATTATATATTATGTATAATTATATTATTATTATTATAATTATTATTATTATTATTGTTATTATTATTATTATTATTATTATTATTATTATTATTATTATTATCATTATTATCATTATTATTATGATTATAAGGACAAAAAGTGTAATTTGAAGTTGTTCCAAGATAAAAAATGATAGAGAAAGTAGAAGGAAAATTGTATTAACGATGAAAAAGATGGAAGAGAAAGTAATTTGGATAGGAGACTGTGCTTAGTATCGAGGCAGGTCTCGATATCATTTAATCTCTGTCGGATGTCGCTTCGACATCGACTGGATGGCCTAAAACGCTTCACCGGATCGATTCAATCACGATCGAAACGCCGTAGTAAGAGCAACGAGTGTTTAACTAATGAAATTGCTGCCAGCTGTGCTAGTCTTCTGTCATATTTCGATCAATCAATAATACTTTTATTTCTCTTTTTTTATTCGTTTAAATTGTTAACTATGTAGATATATTTTTAATATGACGAATATCATTCATCCAATACTAAACATACTACATATGCAGCTGGTGTAAAATTGAATTAAATTATAACAAATTTCTTTTAAAAAAAGCCAATAATTTTATTGATATCAAATTCATTGATATTATTGATAGAATATGTCCAAAAAATTGTCATTTCTTTAGGCGATAAAAAGAAATTACTTTTTATTATTTGAATTGAAATATTATTAAAAATTAAAAATTATTCGTAAATTTAAAATATTTTAGAAATTTTAAAATCACAATGAACTAAAGAAAAAACCAAAAAGATAAAAAAAAAGGTCTGTAAAACACACCCCATCACAGACAGATTGCCGTGTCTGGATCACGTTCATGATGTTTCCGCGTCGTGCCCGTGTCGTTTCCGCATTGAGCCCGCATCGTTTTAACGGCAGTAAATTCTCCATGTGTTGTATCGTTTAATATTGACACATTTATTTCATTATCTGGGTTTTATTTTTATATATCTATTTAATTACTAATTTTATATATATTTAACTTTATAGTTATAGTATATTTATATAATTACCTTATAATTATATTTAGATATACACGTAAAGTTAATAAATTTGAATGCAATATTTTATTGTTTATATATCTATATTTAAATATATAAATATATAGCTATATCGCATAAAAATTGATCTATTAAGTTCAGAATTCTTTTCATCAAGAATCTTTCGGAAATAAAAAGAGACAATTATTAATGCAAACAGCGACGTGTAAATAATGAAATCAGGTCGATTCAAAATTTAATCGTAAGGCGAGAAAAGCTTATTATAGAATAACGATCAATAGGCGGCAATTTGCAAACGTTAAACGACACAGTATCGTGTTGTACCATATAGAGTAGCTTTATTTATTTCCACATTTCTTTTCTCATGCATTTTCATGACTCATTAAAAGTTGGCAAGACTGGTACTTGTGCCCTTTGCATATAACACCGACGACACGGTTCCGACTCTTTGTCACGAGAAATACCAAGCGGCCGTTTAAAGGAGTCGACCGTTCTCATAAATAAAAAGAGGTCGAAGAAAGAGTTTGTGAAAGAGAGAGAAAGAGAGAGGGGGGTGGGAGAGAGACTCTTTTTCTCTTTCCTATACACTAAACTTACACCAAGCGTGAGAACAGTGGGTCAACGATGCCGACACTTGCTTCCTTCAAAATCGTCATAAAATCTACACGAAAAGATTGATGAGAGAAACAGAGAAAATGAGAGAGAGAGAGAGAGAGAGAGAGAAAGAGAGATTAAATAAAAGTTACAAAATACAAATATAAAGGAATGTGTAACTTCAAAGTTACATGTAGAATGTTAGAATTATAGAATGTTAAAAGAGAATGTATAAGATATCATTTTTGTTTGTTTCACATCAAAGAAACATCATTAACTACATAAACTTGTTTTTTACATTAAACGTTTATTATGAACACGTTGACATACATTATTCTTTCTGTCATAACTTAATGCTTGTTATTCTCATTAAGTTACTTCGAAGTCGTTCTTCCAAGAAGTCACTTCGACGTAAAAAAGAAAAAGTAAAACAAGGATGGTCGGTCGTTCTCCAAACACTTCCCCCGGTATAAGTGTGTTTATTATAGAGCTCACTTCCATTAAAGAAAAAGTATGCTTGTCGTAAAAGAAAAGGGTGGAAAGAATCGTTTTCCACGATCAGCATAATCGAATCGATTTCAAGCGAGCTTATCGTAAGAAGAAACTTAGCTTAGAACGGAAACGTTTTCTCGATAGTAACTATCTGCTCGATGAGTCGTCTAATTTTAAAGAGAGAGGGAGAAAGAAAGAGAGAGAGAAACGATATCTCTCAAAATTACTTTCATACTTATGCGAGGATAACGTAAGATTTTATTTAATCTTATATTAAATCGATCGACCGTTTTTTTTCTCATTAAATTAGAAATACTATCTTCGATAAGCATACTAAGGTATAGAAATTTTGTTACCAAACAAATTTTTTCTACTTTTACTTGAAATTCTACGATTATCTCAATATTTTTATGTTAAAATTTGTGTTTTCAAAAAAACGTTATACGATAAATTAACACTTTCTTAGAAGATAATATGTAACGAAAGTATATTGATACATTTGTAAGTACCAATTATAATGATTTATTCGAGTTGATATATATTATATATATATATGTATATAAATCATATGTCTTTTATTTATGTTAATAATTGTACTATTATCTTAAATTTATTTATTCATGTAATAATTTGCTAAGAAATTAAAAAAAAATTCTATGATAAATTGGCACTTTATCAGGAATATTATCAAAATATATAAATATTAATCGAAGTAATTCATTCAAGTTGATAAATTAATTACATTATCATAATAGAATTATAAATACATATTCATTTACGCACAAATATATGTACGTAATACATAAAAATTGTCAATCGTTTAAATTAGCCCGTATAAAAAGTTAAATAAAACACGACCAACTATGTATCACTAATTGCAAGAATCACTGTAAAGAGAAACCTCAGTCTTGCATTTATAATTAAATTAAATCACTTCGCGTGGGTTCGTTAAATAGACGTACATATGTAATTGAAAGGAAAGATCACGCGTGCATTAATCGTCATGATTTGGCGAAATGCACGAATGAAGATAATACGGTTGGTCACGTTGTCCGTGGCTGATGACAACGATGATCAACATTTGCTGCTGTGGTCGTTGAGTTCACATGAGAGAAAGAGAGAGAAGAAGAGAGAGAGAGAAGAGAGAGAGAGAGAGAGAAGAGAGGAAGGGAGAGAGGGAGAGAGAGAGAGAAAAAAACAGAATCACCCAAAAGACTCGCATATCTTCATTTCTGTTTGATTGTATTACTTATAAACAGACTTAGTGCGTCATCCTATCGACATTTTAACGACGACTTATCACGGAATACTTTCTTCTACGTGATTACTTAGAAAACTTGTGATTATTAGTAAAAATATAGATAAAGAAATTGCTGTGACTATATGTATGATATATAGGGTGACGGTGAAATATTTTCCATTTCAATAGAAACGGACGTACGCGGGGAATGTGCGAACGAACGTGCGAACGAATGAATGAATGAACGAAATGTATAACTAAAATTCCCTCGAGAAGTGACCTATTATATATAATAATAAAAAAATTTTGTCTCTAAAGAGGGAACACATTTCGTGCTTCAGTAAAATAAATTTTATCAATACGAACGTTACAGATAACGCGAACAAGATTTGAAAAAAAAAAAAAAAAAGAAAGTTGAAGAAAATAAAGTAAAGAAGGAAATAATAATACTTTATCGTAAGAATTATTGCGAGGAAGACGATGATACATTAATTACGTCATTCGCACTATTGTACTAACGTAAATTCGTAGAACACGTTATCTTGACAAATTCGTTTTGAGTTTAATTTGATTGAATTTTTGCCAAGCTTACTTCCTAGAACCTCTTCCACTACTGTTTCAAATACATATACATATATATATATATATATATATATATATATATATAAATGTGTGTGTGTGTGTACTAATGGTAATCTTGAAAATCGAGGTATACAAGTTAACTCTTAAAATGAGGTATATATATCATTGCCAAGCTTGGTAATCGCGTTATCATCTCTTGCGACTTATTCACGCTCTTGTAAGATGCGTTTCTCAAGCAGTTCGCGGAAGTCGATGTTGTTGATTTATGTGTATCTTATGATGCGATTTCTCGAATTGCGTAAAAGCCATATGAAAAGCCCAACTTATGAGTTACTCGAAGGAGTAACACGATTTTAATGAATAAGATAAATTCGTCAGCTACAAATGAATTCCTTATTGGTTTTAATTCAAGTATCTATACATAATTAATATACTCTGAAATAGAAATTGATGAAAATTGTTAATCTTTTTATAATGCTATATAACTTTAAAGTTATATTTTTACATATATTTTTAAAACTTTATTACATTTCTTTGCTATAAAAATAAAAACATATATATTCTTATATGTATATGTTTTGAACTGTATTAAAAATTTTTTATCATAAAATTAATTGTTTACTAGACATAAATTATAGTTAGTATAGTATAGTTACGCTGTTTCTCTATTTTTTAATTATCTTTTCTAAATATTGCAATGCAATCGATTGTCTATCTCGAAAATATATTTACATAATAATACTAATATCACATTTTATAATAAAACCCTTTAAATGTGACACAATTTATCTAATACG